GCTCTCTTTCATGCAGTGTCAAATCAGCAGATGCCTTGCAGAAGGCACTATTCCTCCCAGAAGATAAGATGTTTTGATCGGTGTTCGGTAGGTTCCATTACTTTAAAAAATAGCAAATAAAAAGTAGTGCTTTGCTTCATATTTTGGTAGGTTAACACTAGTCACAATAGACAAAGTAATGCACAATTATCATAAATATGAGAATGCGGTGCTTGTTGCATTGACATTTCAGATTGTTCTTACACAGAAGGCTTTGCAAAATGCCGTAATTTCATGTGAAATTTGTCAGTAATATTTTTCAGTGATTGCTTTCCTTCCTGTCTTTTCTTCTCCTGCAAACCTGGAGGCAGTCTGCAGTGCAGCCTGGAGGGCAGAGCAGAGCTGCTCCCCACTTCTGCCCCCAGAAGCTGGCGGTTGCTGCAGAGCTGTTTATTAATGTTGGGTTCTGCTGTTCCGTTCATGAACCAGACCTGCTTATTTTTAGCAAAGAGGAGGCTGAACTGCTGTGTGTGGGGTTGCCCAAGCATGTTACAGACCCAACAGTGTGGGCTCCAGCATTGGTGTTACTCAGAGCAGCTCCTGGCTGAGTCCCAGCTTGGTGTCCCCAGCATCACTGGGACATGCAGGCAACTCACTGCTTGTGCCTCCAGCAAAGAAATCTGCACTGCACTGTGACCCCAGGGCTCTGCACACCCCACAGCCAGCCACCTTCTGCTATGGAGCTGCTATGACTGGAAGGGCTGTTCACCCATCTTCTGTTGGCATGCAGCAGCCAACAAACTGTGGGTTGGGAAACTCTCTGAACCACCTTGTGCTTGGTTGTATTGTACGAGCTCTGCGTGGAAGTGGCTGTTTTGACATTGGAAGCAAAAAGAGAGTTCCTATGGGTAGATGCTGAAGTTGAGCTCTTGTATGGGCGATGTATTCCTGTGAAGCTCTTGGTGCTTGAGGGGAAGGCCAAGATTTGAGTAAAAAAGCAAACTGAATTCCTTTTCTCAAATTGGTTTCAATAATTTCTTAGTACAGAGACTGAAGTGCTTTGGGTCAAGCTTACAGCAAGTCTACCATTTTGATTGCAAAAAATAAAACATAAAAGCAATGCCATCATAATAAGGGCAGCAAAGGGGTGGCACAGGTTGCCCACAGAGGCGGTGGTGCCCCATCCCTGCAGACAGCCGAGGTCAGGGATGGGCTGTGAGCACTGATGGAGCTGTGGGTGTCCCTGCTCAGTGCAGGGGTGGCACCAGACGGCCTTTAGGGTCCCTTCCAACCCAAATGATTTTATGACATTAGGAATACAAAGAACCTCCTGAAAAGTGCTTTTTGTTTCTATTCCCCCATTTAAATTCATTTAAATGCCATTTTAAAATATGCATTTCAACATGTTTTTAAGGACAGACAGAGCTGAGCCAACACACATGTATGCGTGTATGCGCACTTGGGTTTGTGCGGATGTGCTTTGGAGTGAGCTATTGCTGTCTTTAGAGCAGCGGCATTGGAAACCTGTTGTGTTTTCAGCATTTTATGCAAACACGTTGTCTTGCACAGAATAGCATGTCACGTAGCATAAATCTGCAGGAAGCCAGCGTTTGTGTGGCTCCTCACTCCTGATGCATCCTGATGCCAGGTAATTAGTCTGCACCGTCTGCATCTCTTAAAACCCTTCCTGGGAAGTGTCTGGTGTTCAGTGCTGCATCTTTTTTGCTGTTCAGCCCTGGCAAATGCACTGGGAGAGAACAGGGTGATATGACATCGGGCTGTGCTGAAGGCAGCGTTGAGGTCTGAGGTCTTTGCCCTTTGCCTCCTGGCATGGTTCTGCTGGGAGCACAGCAAGCAGATCCAGCCTGTGCCCTGAGCTCTGCAGGAGGATGTCAGAGCAGATGTAGGAGCTCAGGGCCGTGCTGCTTTGCCCCTGCGCTCTCTTATCTCCATGTTTTTTAAGAGAGGAAATGAAGCAGAAAAGTCCTTTACTGTGAGCATGGCAAAGGAGCGCTGGTGCTGGGAGTGCTGCTGAGCTCTGATTCCTCTTCCTTCCCTTTAATTGTGTCCTTCGAAAGCAGAGTCCTCTAGTGCTAAGAGGAGATGATGGCAAACCGCCTTGTTAACCTATTTTAAGTAAATCTGTATTGAGTTTCCTGCTGTGCTAAGAGCTGGAAGTCCCAGTAGAGTTTTGTATTTTATCCCTACGCTGCTTTCTCTGGACTTTAATTCCCCACTTCCTTTCTCTCCTACCCCAAAAGAAATGCAAATTTAATTTCAGAGGAAATAAGAATATACTTGAATAAGAGGATATTTTTTTTGCCAGTATCTCAGTGTCTCCCACTGGCTAGTAGCTAATTCTGAGGGATCTAACATCACGCCTTTCTTAAAACAAATTCTTTGCATACAGCAGCCTCCCACAGGCTCCTTTAGCTCAGAAAGGCAATGCATTTCAGTGACAAAAAAGAATTCTGTATAGAAGAGAAGTCTGGCAGTGCAGGCCTCCTGGAAGGCATTGGTAGGCAAGGAGGGAAAAGATATTGCTGGTTGCTATTAATAATTAATTTAATTTTCTGCAGCCGTCTTGTAAAAGTTCCTCAACAAATTTGCAGAGCCTTTAATATGTGTACCACTGATTTGCAGCCATTTCTGAAGTACTTAGTCTGTTCCACTGGAGTCACAGCAATGGTGTTTCACTATAGAATCATAGAATGTGTTGGGTTGGAAAGGACTTTAAAGATGATCCAGTTCCAATCCCCTGCCGTGGGCTGGCTGCTCCCCTCCAGCTCAGGCTGCCCAAGGTCCATCCATGGCCTTGGGTACCTGCAGGGATGGGACGATGCCTTCAAGAGTGGGTCAAGATGGAGTGTAGGTCTGTAAGTCATTACGAAAGTATCTACTGAAATATTGTAGAAATAATAATATTGGATATGGAACATATTTTTCAGGATCAGATTTCCTCCTTCTCTTCATGTTGTGTGCTTTTCTGTCACGATAAAACATAAAGGTTGTAGTGATAACATTAGAACAAACAGAGAAAATTGAACATATGTCTGAATTTCTGATTGGGTATCAGAAGATGAAGAATGAGAGAGAGGTTGGATATTAGGAATGATTTCTTCTTGGAAAGAGCAGTGATGCAGAGGCACAGCTGCCCACGAGTGGGAGAGTCACTGTCCCTGGGGGTGTCCAAGAACTGTGGGATGTGGTGTTGAGGGATGTGGTGATTGGGCATGGTGGGGGTGGGTTGATGGTTGGACTGGATCACAGAATCACAGAATGGCCAGGGTTGGAAGGGACCTCAAAGATCATGAAGCTCCAACCCCCTGCCACATGCAGGGCCACCAACCTCCTCATTTAATGCTAGGCCAGGCTACCCAGGGCCCCATCCAGTCTGGCCTTGAACACTTCCAGGGACGGGGCATCCACAACCTCTCTGGGCAGCTGTTCCAGTATCTCACCACTCTCTCTGTAAAAAATTTCCCCCTAACATCCAAACTAAATCTCCCCTCCCTCAACTTAAAACCATTTCCCCTCATTCTGCTGTTATCTACCCTTTCAAAGAGTTGATTCCCCTCCACTGTGTAGGCTCCCTTTAGGTATTGAAATGCTGCAATGATTCACCCCACAGCCTTCTTTTCTCCAGGCTGAACAAGCCCAGCTCCCTCAGCCTGTCCTCATAGGGGAGGTGCTCCAGTCCCCTGATCATCTTCGTGGCCCTCCTCTGGACCCTCTCCAACAGCTCCCTGTCTTTCTTGTACTGGAGGCTCCAGACCTGGACGCAGTATTCCAGATGGGGCCTCACAAGAGCAGAGCAGAGGGGAACAATCACCTCCCTGTCCCTGCTGGCCACCCCTCTCTTGATGGAGCCCAGGATCCCATTTGCCTTCTGAGCCACAAGGGCACACTGCTGGCTCATGTTAAGTTTTTTATCCATCAAGACCCCCAGGTCCTTCTCCACAGGGCTGCTCTCAAGGACCTCTCCTTCCAGTCTGTAGGGATGCCTGGGATTCCTCCGGCCCAAGTGCAAAATTCTGCACTTTGTCATGTTGAACCTCATCAGGTTCACCCGGGCCCACCTTTCTAGCCTCTCGAGGTCCCTCTGAATGGCATCCCGTCCTTCAACCGTGTCAACCACACCACTCAGCTTGGTGTCGTCAGCAAACTTGCTGAGGGTGCACTCGATTCCATCATCGATGTCATTGATAAAGATGTTAAAGAGCACCGGTCCCAAGACAGACCCCTGGGGGACGCCGCTCATTACCAGCCTCCACCTGGACATGGAGCCATTGATGACCACCCTCTGTCTGCGGCCTTTCAACCAGTTTCTTATCCATCGAGTGGTCCACCCATCAAATCCACATCCCTCCAGTTTGGAGATAAGGATGTGGTGGGGGACCATGGATAGTCCCCCAATGATTCCCAATGATTCCATGGCTCTATGATTCTATGACATAGCAGTGGTCTGTGGTGGAGCACTCTGGTCTGTGTCACTGCCAAATAAAAGCAGATCGTTGTGGGTGAGTTTTGTCACTCATCACAGAATCTGGCACAGATATGTGAGCTTTGGCAGTGTTCTTCAAATCACCATCAGGCAAATTGTAATGTCTGCACTGCCATTGACCTGGATTGCATGTTTCATACAAAATAAAGCCCACATTGGATCTTGTTGCTGCCCAGCTTGGAAAACCAGTGTCTGACCACAGAGTGCAGCCCCAAACCCATCCTTACCACCAACCTTGTGCATCTGCTCATTCCACACCTGATTTATCACCACATCCTGCAGTGCGCTCGTTATTTTTTTTAGCATTTTCTCCTCAAACCTGCAGCCACATCCCAGGCACCTGGCAGGGCTCAGGGCCAGGCAGGGGCACAGCACGATGGAAGCGTGGCCAGGCAACCGTGCAGGGAGCCAAGGAATGATCCCTCTTTGTCAGACAGCCGAGCTGTTAGAGGTTATGAGATTCTTTTATTGCACTAATTTGCAGTGCGATGTGCTGACATTCTCTCCCTGTTGCACAGAGAATATATAAATTATGCCTGCAGGACGATTAACTGTTTGTCCAGGCTAATTGTCAGTATTAAATCTTGCTCAGTCACAGTTTTAAAGCTTAATTTAAACTCTCTATCTTTAAGGAATCTGCACTCCCACTCCCCCTCCCACCGTGGGGAAAAAAAAATAATAAAGATTTAACGGTTTAAGTCAGTTCCCTTTGTAAGAGCTAAAGTTATAATTGGGTGTGTGGATAGCAGAGACATCTGCGCATGATGAGCCTGTGGAGTTTTCCTTTTGCTTTGGCCAATAATGTTCATTTCAAATCCCATTGTCTTTGCTACCCTGTATTAATTTCTGAATTATGTATTATTGTTCTGAGACCCCCGAGCCACAGCTATTCCCCACATCTATTACTGCATAAATCTTTGCTGTGTGCTTAAAACAGCAACGATTCATCCGGAAAGACAGAGAGGAACACAAGTGCTCATGAAAAATCCCACCCCTAAAAAAATAGGCAAAAAACAAGTCCTTTGGGGGGCGAGGGCCCCGATCAAGGGGAGCTGGGGCAGGGGGTTCACGGAGCTGGGGCACAGGGGGCTGTGCCATGCCAAGGGGCAGCATGGGAACCATGAGGGCATAGCAAGATCACTGGGCACAGATTTTCTTCTCCCCTAATTTTCCCAATTGGTCGTGTTTTATCATTATTATTGTTGTGGATAAAGAATCAGTTGGATGGTCATAGCCAGAGGGCTAGGGCATATCCCAGAGGTTTGCTCCTGCTCTGCTTTCTGGAGCTGACAGTGCCATTGGAGAGCTGGAGGTGAGACTTGAGGCTCTGTGTGTCTTCTTGCAAAGCTCCTGGAGGACTTTGCATCCTGCTGTGGGGTGGGCAGGTTGGACCCACAGGAGGATGCAGCCCCCTGGGAGAAAACACTTTTTGCTCACCTTGTTTCTTCTGACGCCTCGCTGAGAAATGAAGGGCTCGTGCTGTGAGAGATCGCTCTGACAGTGACAGCTTTCCTCACTTCTTTTCCGAAGTCTGCAAAATTAGGGTGAGCAAAAGGTGGGGGGAGGAAACAGCAAGCAAGGCTTGGAGAGAAATGCCTGAGAAACACAGAAACCTACGGGTAGGAGAGGAGAGTCAGCAGATGAGAAAGTATAAGGGTTAGTAATTAGCAAGCTCGGCTGCGTGATGGCAAAGTACTGGCAGTGTGATGAGAATGGGGAACCTTGGCCTTGTTTGTTGAGAGAGAAGGAGGCAAAGGAAGCTCTGTAGGGGCAGGGGTGCACCTGCTGCTGATGCACCAGGAGAACTCTACTATGGACAGGGTGCAAAAGCTGTGTCCTGTCCTTGGGGATGCCCAACCTTACTGTTTGGCTGGTGCCCCAAACGATTTATTCCAATTTCTTGCTTTTATCCCACTGGCCAGCAGAAATACCCTGCTCCCTGTTTTGTGACCTGACTCTCAGGTTGGTCAGGTCTGACTGCTCAGCTCTAACGACAGGAGATGGGGCATTGTGTTGGCCAGGCTTTAGGCCATCTGAAACCCACAGCTGCATTTTCCCTAGGGCTGTGCAATGAGGGGAAACATGGTTAAGCCACACCACACTGCTGCTGCCTTGCCATTGAGGTACCCCAATATCCTCCCCCCTCTCTGACAGGGGAGAGAAGGTAGGGCATCAGCCCTGGTGATCTGTGAGATGTGAAGTGAGGTCCTCAGAAGCACAAAAGCAGTGTGCAGGAAGGAGAAAAAAAAAAAGGCTTTTCTAGAAGAAGAACAAAGGACAGGGGCTGAGCTACCTGGGGTGGGCAGCGCTGGGGGAGGGCAGCTCTTTCCTTAGCATATGCTCTGCATATTTTACTGCCAGAGAAGATGTGGCGATGATTTAATATGCAAAGGTAGATATGGCATTGATATGCATCCGCACTGCATAACATGTGCGTACATATTTCAAAGGTGGTACAAGGAAGTGCACAGCTGAAGGCGAGCATTTATCTGTCAGCCTCGCGGTCAGACGTGCGAGACCTCTGCAGCCTTGGGAGAGCCGGCAGGAGGAACAATAACGCGGCTGCTTAGGAAGGGTTATACCTCAAACACAAAATAGCTGAGATGCGGGGCTGCAGAGGGGCTGGGATGTGCTGGAGGAGCCCCCACTGGGCAACAAAAGCTGCAGAAAGCAGCGCGGTGCCATAGCACAGAGCATGGAGAGGAAAGCATTCACGTGCACTTTTCTCTCCGTAGCTTGTGCTCGAGTCACAGCAGATGAGCCGAGTACGCCTGAGAGCTCTTCTGCTGTGGGAGTGTTTTGTTGTGGTGGTTGGCTTTGTGTTTTTTTTCTGTCTTTTTGTTTTGCTGTTTGTTCTGGGAGCGCAGCTCAGCTGCACAGGAAGGGGAGATCTGACCCAGCGATGCTGCCCTGCAGCCCCACAGTGCACATGGGGCTGCGCTGTGTCTTTGCTTGGGTTTTCCCTCTCTTTGTGGGAAAGCCACCAAAGTCTCCAGGCCTGCAATAGGCTGCACCAGGCTAACAGCAGGCCTTGTGCTGAGCAAATGGGAAGCACCATGCTGGGGGTTCAGGCTGAATGCAGCATGCTGCACCAATGGGAACGCATCATTTGGGGTCTGTTTGGCTCGGCTCCAGGTGTTAATGCTTGATGGCAGCAGGCAGAAGACCGGGTCCTGCACAGATTTCAGATGATGCTCTGTGCCCATGCACTGACGTGTTTTTCTTACATAGGCTTGGGTAGGAAGAGGCCTGAAAGATCATCTTGTTCCAGCCCTACATGCATAAGCTGGGATACCTTCCACAAAACCTTATTGCCATAAGCCCTATCCAACCTGGCCTTGAACACTTCCAAGGATGGGGCATCCACAGTTTCTCTATACAACCGCTTTCAGTGCCTCACTGTCCTCAGAGCAAAGACTTTTTCCTAATATCTAACCTAAATCTACCCTGTTAAAATTACAACCATTACCCTTTGTCGTATGGACCCACATTAGAGCAGCTTGTGAAGAGTTTGTGGGAATCCCATGATCAGAAAGGGCTGCAATAAATGAACACATCTCACTGCCTTGCTGGAAACAAAAGTTTACCTTCTATGCAGCTTCACTGGCTTTTGGCTTCATTACAACTATGGTTGGGTGCAAGCATTGGATACCTCTTGCTGCTAACAGGAATCTGTCTTGCTCTGCTGCATCTGTGTGGCCTCAATCTGCAGTCCTGTGACGGAACACAGCTGCACTGTGACCCCATAGGGCAGTGGCACATTCCAGCCCCTCTGCTTCCCCAAACCCTCAAACCCATCACAGCTTTAGGGACCAGGCAGTGGCAGTGACAGAGCCGTAGTGCTGGTGGCCCCAGGGAGCAGTGAGGTGTGGAGGATGGGGAGGGTGCTTTCATGCAGCACTCCCAGCATGGTGGAAGCTCTGTAACTCCATCACTCTTCAATTATCTGAAATTACAGCACTGCTCTCTCCCTTTTTATGTTATGGTGGAAGAAATCAGGACATACATTAATTATCTAATCCGTATGTAAAGTGTCACATGTAATTTTCCCGGAGCAAAAGGTTCTAGCTTTAAGACCTGCATCATCTCTTAATAACCATCTGTGAGGGGAGAAAATAACACCCAGATATGTGATCATTAGCATGGTTGGTGCCCACAGTCACTCCTGTTCCTGCTTTCAGGTCAGTATCCCCGTTATATGGGCGTAACCTGGCCAGGTCCCTTGGGAGCTCACAGCCCACTGGTGTTGCAGAAGGACAGGGATGAGGAATGGGATTCTTTAGCGTTTTTCTGTTTTCTTTGGCTGTGTACAGAAAATAGGGGAAGGCCTAAGACTTAGTCCCTCTGACTAAGACGCATGGCAGCTGAAGAAGTCGATTAAGAAAATCGGTATTGCATTTATTAGCCTCCATCTATGATGCACGGCGTTATGCTAATATGCATGAATTAATTACTGTTATTAATCCAATTGAATTAATTTGATATTGCTGTTGTACGCAGTGAGATTTGTTGAGGGTGAGGGTGAGCTGCTTCTTAAAGGTGGCACAAGCATGGGGTGGGTTTGGGGAGATCTACAGCAGCCCCAGCCCAGCTGCCAGCACCACCTGATGCAGCAGTTGATGGTGGCTTCATCCTGTTCTGCAACTGGGAAACAATTCCCTTTGCCCCTGTTTGCATCCCTGCGGGGTTCTGCTGCTGTCACCCTGCAACCCTGCACAGGAAGGTGACAAACCTGGGACTCTCATGCTGCAATGCAGGGTGTGAGGGACAGAGCCACATGAATTTCAGTATGAGAACCTTCATGCCAAGCACCGTGCACAGAAGCACCCGAGGCAGTGCAAGGCACAGATTGCAAAGTGGTGCTGGGCTGTGCAGGATTTGCATAAAGCGTTATGGGAAATGCTGATGAAGCCTGAGAAAGCTGCAGCTTGAAGGCAGAAGTGAAACTCGTGGCGTGAATCTTGTTTGAGAGATTTGCTCTCAGTTTGTGGCAGAGGAGATGGCTGTTGTTAAAGGCCTTCAGATCTCATTGGCAGTAGTGAGGAGTGCTGGGGGACAAGCACTGAGCTCAGGGAGCTGGGGCAAGGGCTGGGGCAGTGCTGTGCCAAACCCTGCTGGGCAAAGCCCTTCTGCTGTTATACACACGTCCCACGCTTTGGTCCTCCTAACTCATTCAATTTCAGTTTTCCATTTGGTTGGTGAGATTTTATCAAAACGTTCCCCCTCCCTGAGTGTTCTGCCTCCATTCCTTACTGTACCTTGTTCAAGGGAAGGGAACATCTCCCCTGCTGCTCTGCAACAGCAGGTGGCAAACTTCACCTCAGTGCTGAGCTCTGGTTTGCCCCAACCTGTGTAACCTCACCCTGCTTCCTGTGTCTTCACCCTTTGCACCTGGGGTTGGTGCACAGTTGGCATGGCAAGGAATGAAATAACAGGGAGGCTGGGCAGAGCTTTCTGCTTTGTGTTAGCACAAATCTCATCCTCTGGAGATGCTCTCAGCGTTTTATTCATTATTCATACCTAGATATCAAAAAGTATTTTACATTTATTAATTATGTCAATAATTTACATGTGAAAATGCATTAAATATACTAAATATATTTAGTATACAGCTGAAAATTAGTACAATATATGCATTTTTCCCCTATGTCCTTTGAGCTGATGGATTTGTGGTGCCTCGAAGAACACAGGAAACTATTGCAACTATTGTCTGTCACAGTGTGGTCCACGTGGAGCAAGGAGCTTGATGATCCTTATGGATGCCTTGCAATGTGGGATATTCTATGAGTCTATGGTTCATTAAAGCAGCCTGGGTTATCCGTTCCCTCAGCATTCTACATACCTTAATGGAAGAGGAGAGGAGAGGAGAGGAGAGGAGAGGAGAGAGACCTGCATCCTATTCAGAGTGCTCTGATATGGAGAAGGGGACATCCCCTGCCCCAGCCCTCCCTGTACACTGGGGCTGGACAGCTATTTTTATTTATATTTATTTCAAACATGCTTAATGCCAGACAGTGAGGGAGCATCTAGCCCTAATACAGCCCAAATCCAATAATTAGGTTCTTATATCTCAGCTAATGGCCATCTTGTGCTTAGAAACGGACCTGGAGTGACCTCTTGCAGCTCAGGTCCCCTTGGTTCTCTCAGTTCCCTCTGGTTTTAGGGTTGGTTGATTGCAAAGATGGCAACAAAGCTGACAGACCCAAGGTTTGGGCATGGACCTGGCAACTGGACACACGGTGTCCTGCTTTCCTGGCCAGAGCTCCTGCAGCAGGTGCTCATCCTGGTGGCAGACATCCAGCACAGTGCTGGCTGTACAGAATCATAGCATTGTTGAGGATGGAAAAGAGCTGTAAGATCATCTAGTCCAACCATACCCACTATGGGTGCTGGAGCTGGGCTTGGGGACGTTGCAGAGGCAGAGGTTGGCCTGAATTTCCCAGCTATGAATGCAGCAGAAATGCCTCCTTCCTTGGCAATGGAAGAGGCTGAGTGCATGCAGAGGCATTGGCATTTCTTCATGAGGCAGATTTCCAGCAGACAGCGAGCTGTGACAAGAAAAATAGCTAAATCTTCCCGGCTGTATTGATGGCCTCCCAGGGAAACACTGTCAATCCAAAAACGAACCGTCCCCTTCAGTCAAATGTGTCTTTAATGAAAAATATATACCCACCGACTTCCAGACTGTATTATTAATGTGACCTTTACTCAACTGCTTCCCTCTCCTTTTGATTTCTGTGAATAAACGTAATTAGGAAGGTGTGTGCTTCAGCAAGGGGCTGCAGTGGTGGGGAGGAAAAGGAGCCGGATCCCAATTAGCTCCTGTGGAATACAGAGGTGGTGATGAGTGGGGCATGGGCTGAGCTTCCAGACATCCCCAAAGAGGCAGAGAGGTCCTGTGGTGGGGTGTGAGGGAAGTGCAATGCTGGGAGTCTTCAGCGCAGAGGGGAAGCACAATGAAAGCTTAAAAGCTTCGGCAGCTTTAAAACGTATGTCCCAATCTCAGAATGGAGGGAAAGTTTTGCTGTGTTGAACTCAGTTTCCAGAGCCAATGGATGTGTGCAGGCAACCAGGGCACAGCTCTCCCCCAGATGCATTCGGTGGTGTCACGTTGACACACAGCAGCACCCAGGACTTGGATGTCAGCCCCCTGTCCTCAGGACTCATTTGTCCTTAATCCTTCCCTGTCCTTTGCACCGTTTTCTTTCAGAAATGCTTTTGGCTGAGGAGAAGAAATCGGGCCCTTCTTTGCAGGCTAAATTGCAGCCCATCACATCCAGCACCCCCTGGGGTCCTTGTGCATTCACATGGCCAAAATATTTTGAATGGGCTTCCTGGAATTTGGCAGGAGCTGGCTCTTACAGAAAGACGTTGGCTTTTGCTAGGCTGTTTGACACCTTTGGAATAATGACCATACACGTGGCTCACTCAAAGACCTTTGGGCACGAGGCACCACTGCATGCTGCCTGGAGATGAGGTCTGCAGTATTACTGTTGTCTGCTGTGGTGTATATTGCACTCATTCATGTTTCTGAAGCACTGGAAGCTGTGGGCAGGGCTGTGAAAAATGAGTAATTCTGTCTTCCAGGCAGGGTTGATGTACCAAGAGGAAAACAAAATGGAGAGTGAAACAAGATCCTGGGCTGCACCCAAGGCAGTGTGACCAGCAAACCAGGGAGGGGATCTGCCCCTCTGCTCTGCACTGTGAGAGCTCACCTGGAGCACTGCATCCCGATGTGGAGTCCTCAGCACAGGAGAGATATAGACCTGTGTTGAGAGGAGGACCCCAAGAATGCTCCCAGGGATGAAACAGCCCCTATGAGCACAGGCTTGAGGGCTGGGGCTGTGCAGCCTGGAGAATGAAGGGCTCTGGGGAGAGCTGAGAGCGGCCTTCAGTATCTCAAGTAGTGCTGTAAGAAAGAATGGGACATACTTGGGGCAGAGCTGGGCTGATGTGTGGTGCCAGCACAGCACTGCTGCCTGCTATAGCGAGCACCGGGACGTGGTGGCTGCTAGTGGACACTCTGCAAAGAGCAAAAGGAGAGGGGGGATCACTGCATCAATTATTCACTCTACATTATTTGCTCCGCTTCGATATGTGTATGTGGACATGAGTGTGCATGGGGGGGGAGGTGATGCTGAAACCACCCTGCGGGCCGTGGCAGAGTTGTGTTTTCATGTCCTTTCCCCCTGCTCGCCGTAATCCATTAGGGTATTTTTCTTGCCTTCTAGATCTAATCACAGCCAGCAATGCAGGTTGAAGCATTTCAAGTGTTTTTTCCTCGTCTTATCTGGCTGCCCTTTTAGCGTTGTTATTGAACGCTGGGGCTTGTGTTGATTTGCATGCCATTTTGCTTTTGATCTCCATGGCAACCGCTACCAAATGGCCTGAGAATAATAGAGGCGCTTTTTGGAGCTGTGGGCGGGCGCTGTGCAGAGCGCTGACGCCAGAGGTTTTCACCAAAATAAATAAATAACGTGGAGATGAAGATGGCTATTGCGGTGAGCAGGGCAGCCCCAGCCCTTCCCTGTCCCCTCAGCCAGCAGGTGGCTGTGACATGATATTATGTTAAAAGACGTAAATACGTGAGGATGGGATGCAGGGCGCAATGATCCCCACACCGAGCATCTCTGTCTCCTTGGTCAGAGCAGAGATGGCCCCAGTTCAGAAGTACCAGACACAGCACATGGGATGCTGGTAGGGAGAGCCGTGGGCATGGGGTCATGCACAGCTGCAAGGATCA